TGAAGTTTGGTTTTCAATTAACATTGGTAGTTTAATGATTAGTTTTGGTTTTTTCTCCAGTTACCCCAATTCCGGTCAATTTTGAGTTTTCATGATGCATCCGAGCTTTATTTTTCACAATTTATCATGTTTAAAATCTTGGGATACGTTTGATTTAGCAATCTTTCAGTTGAATCTGTAATGGGCATTGCATAAAGATTGATAAAGATTTGTCTATGAATAGCATTGATAGCCTTATGATTAGTTTTGATTTCTCTCTAGTTTCTCCAATTTCAGATCGATTTAAGTCTTCAAGGTGATTCAGGTGTCTAGTTTTCTTTTTTTAATGGAACATGTTTGAGATCTTGGGATTTATTTGATTAAGCATGCTTTCTGTTGAAGTTGAACATGTGATGTGCATTGAAGAATGACCTATTAAGATTTGTTTTTCAGCCAGATTGAATGTAATCATGTTGATTTTGTCTTTCTTTTATGTTTTTTAATGACCAAGATTACATGAAATCACAAATTCTCCATCCTTCTGCTGCTTTCAGGAGGTGATTGTGGATTCTGATCAGATAAAACTGCCGAACTCAAACTACTGGCTCTAAATATGTTCGATTGATGTGTTTTATTTTTCAGATGTCTTGACATGTTTTTTTATTTTAATTAACTTTTCTTCATTTTTTTTTTCAATTTGACGGTTGGAGTTTGGATTTATAAAAATAATTTATTTTCGTGGTTATTAACCGAATCGAACCAAACCGAACTGAGATATTAACCGAATCGAACCGAACCGACTTTCGTGGATATGGTGCGGTTATGGTATGACCAAAAATTTGGTGATGCTGTTATGGTTTTGGCCGAACCGACCCCGAACCGAACCGTTGCCATCCCTACCAATAAAGGGCCTTCCTATCACATGAATACGACTCTTGTATTATGGTACGCATCTTATGATAGCCGAATCATCGTCTGCCAAAATCATCGATATTTTTAATTTTCATATTTTTCGGAATGATATTCGGTATGACGAACTTTTGACATTTCAATTAAATGCATATTANGAACTTTTGACATTTCAATTAAATGCATATTAAAATAGAATTTGAAACAACGAAAGCAGGACTTTCAAAACATCATGAACTAGGCTTTGTCGGTATTTCGATTCTCAGTTTCTTTTGACGAAGTTTTATCACTTCGATAAATTCCCAAATTTTAACTCCACATTTTTTAGCACACAACTAATAATGCATTACTTCGATTTTTAGTGTATTTCGATTACTACTTCCATCACATAAAGTTTTAAGTGTCTATCATGTTATTTTTTTTCCACTTTGAAAATGGGAATAACCAGCTGTGAAATGTCGAATCTAGCAATCTACGACATTCCATTAGTAAACTTTCTTAGGAAGGGAGGAATGCGGATTCATTAGATAACAAATCAATATTCTATCAAAAAATTTGGTTTATGCAAATTGTAAGATAGTAAGAAATCCGAGCATTTCCCTTAAATAAAGATTAAGTAACAATCTTTAATATGGAAACGAGACTGCTGATTGGATGTGCAACTTGAATAAAAGGGTAATTAGATTTTCACATGTCACATACGGGCTTTGAAAGAAGAAACTTTATAATAATAAAAGGGCAATAATTTCAAAGGAGTAATTGGCGTAAAACGTCCCTACTTTTGACGATTTTTGTGGAAAACGTCAATATCTTTGATTTTTTGGCGCATAACGTCCATACCTTTCACATTCTATACGTTGAACATCATTTTCATCAATTTTTAACATAAAATGACCAATATACCCTTCTAGTTCAATAAAACAAAAGAAAAGAAAAATAAAGAACGAATTGTAACTATATGTCCAAACTTTTTAAAAAGTGCAAATAACCCACCAAACTTCACATTCTTTAAAAAATTATAACTTTACCCTAAACCCATAATTGCATGAGAATCCCCACAATTTAATAAATTGCAGGGGAAGCCCCGTCCCCAAATTTGACCAGCCTGCGAAGAAACTTGGCAGCTTATGGAGTTGACTGCTTCTACTCCAAATTCGATCATCATACTGTCGGACAAACCACCAAATTTCCACACCATCAACTTTATGATAGTTTTAATCTTGAGTGGTTGCTCAGTTGGTCACGTCTTGAATTTGCTCCCCAATGATCACTAGTTCGAGTCCCCTCAGGGCCACTGAGGTAAGTACTCAACTGTAAATTTCAAACCGTCGTGGATTTAGTTTAGTTGCGCACAAGTTGACTCGAACATCCACGATTATTAAAAAAAAATAATAATAATAAGATAGTTTTTAAAAACTTATCATTCAGACAACGAAATTAGAACTTGTACCCTCCTATATCACCTCTTTTAAAAATTTTCAAGGCCGCAGTAGTCACCCTATGAGGTGACGGTCGGTCAGAGCAACATTTAAAGCTGGTGGGGGTCCTGAATCGGATGCTATGAAATGGTAAAAAAATTGACTAATAGGACTTTCCATTTAAAGTATACAAATTCTTCAGATTACAGAGGCCAAAAGCACGCCTATTCCCTAGGTAGGTTGATCCAGATTTAACGGGTAATGTTCAACACGTGATTGATTAGTAGTTTCACTATTGACAGAATTCGTATAAAGACATAGATTTGGAGAAATTATTGAGAGACTATCCGATGTTTTATTCATGTTAGAATCATTTTCTTTTGAACGTGTGTGATTGTTGGGTTTTAACTTCCAAACTTTAGACTTTAGTAAATTCGATTGAACTTTTTTCCTCGTTACGAAATGTCAATGTCAATCCAAAACTCATACAAGTACTCGATTTTTTTATTTTTATTTTTTAAATTTGGATCATTACATGCTTAAATCAACCTGAATACATATGATTTTTAACATACATGTTTATTGAAATGAATTGTAATGAAAATTAAACATGGAAAGCCAGCCACTCGAAAGTGTCCAAAACTAGGTGATTAAAAACCCTTTTCCTTTTTTTGTCTTTTTACGTTTAATCAATGTATTTAATTTGAACCCATCATATTGTCACTTCATTAGGTAAACAACTACAACTTGTGTACTTGTTTTCTGCATGATTTGTAGATTTCCTTATAAAGTCGAATATTAATATAAGGGTGCATTTGATTACAAATATAAAATTTGTATGAAAAGAAAATAAATTATAAGCAATTCAATTGTCTGGAACTTATCTGTATGAAAATTGTTAATTAAATGTATTTGAATTGATTTAGTTTTCAACTTAGAAATATTATACTTGTCTATTGGTGGGTAGATGAGAGAGAGTTGAAAGATAAGTAAGAGAAAGAGATAGTGAATTCCCTGAAAAATAAAATTCTACTCTACCTAAAGAAAATATTTTCATTGATTTTGAGAAAAATATGATCACATGATCAAAAGTAAGAAAAAATGTTTTTTATCAAAAAATTGTTAATCAAATAATAAAAAAAGTACGAATTTGGATGGCCCTGACAATGTGGCAAGGTCAGCTGGTCAGGCCTTGACAATGTAGCAGGGTTCCTATTAAAATGAACATTCATTTCTATTTAGGCTCCGTTTGATTGACGGAGTTTTTAGGGAAGTAGAAAAATATTTTCCTA